ATAGATCATTTTTTCCTTCTCGAATTTGTAGATGTTCATGCTACTGAAAGTCCCAATGATCCAGCAGGCATGAACACTAATTATAAAACCTTATAGTATAACACATAACATCCACAAGCACAACAGTCACATTTATGTTATCTAATCAAATTTTAAATTTATGAATTTGTTGTTAACGATTTTGTTTTTGGTTTGTAGACTCTCATGTTCCTAAAGTGGTTTGCCCGGCTTGCCTCTGTTGCGAAGACCGTTCTCCTCTACCGGGAAGTTGTTGCCGTTGCTGTTAAGCTCATCAAGATCAACAATGCCCTCATGAACCTATATTTAAGCTTGTTCATTACTATCAATATCTACTTGTGATGTTGTACATTGACCAATAAAAGTATCATGCTTAGATGCTTTGCCAAATTGATTCGAATATTCCCTGTTATGTAAAATACATAAAAAACAATAATTAGTTTTGTTACCTGCAAAAGTCCATGAAACATTAATGGGTTACAGCATCTTTATCTATGAATTTTTAAGGGTATCATTAAATATAAAATTATTAAAAACACACTCTCTCTTCCTTTTACTTAACTTTATANNTTCTNTTTCATCNTTTTACTCAACTTTTATTAATTTTATACTCTNTTTAAATATAAAATTATTAAAAACACACTCTTTCTCTTTTCAAAAATATCAACTATTTGATACTTTTGATACTCTTTCTCTAAAAATACCCACTATCTTTTCTTTTTACTCAAATTTATTAATTTTATATTTCAATACATCCCATTATTTTAACCAAAAACACTATTTTTTTTCTTTTTATTCAAATTTTAATAATTTTATATTTAATGATACCCACTAAAATTCACGAATAACGATGCTAACACGAATTGTCCAGCAACTGACTAACCATAGCAAAATGGCGGAATCGTCGTTGGTGGAAACTGGAATCCCTCAGCAAAAGCGATACGAATCGAAGCCTTTTCCGGCGGTGATTTCGCCGTCTTCGATTCCTGCTCCGTCTCTCCCACTATTCACTCAGACTATCAAGTCTCAGAAACCCTATCTCGATTCCCTCTTACACGAATCCGGAGCCGTGCTTTTCAGAGGGTTTCCGGTCAATTCCGCCGTCGATTTCAACGACGTCGTCGAAGCTTTCGGTTTCGATGAGTTTCCTTACGTCGGAGGCGCCGCTCCTCGCACTAGCGTCGTCGGCCGTGTTTTCACTGCCAACGAATCTCCTCCTGATCAGAAAATCCCCTTTCACCACGAGATGGCTCAGGTCTGTTAAAACGAATACTCTTGACAGATCGAATTTGAAATTGATTGGATTTTGATTGATGATGATGCATCATAGGTTCCTGAGTTTCCATCGAAATTGTTCTTTTACTGTGAGATTGAGCCTAAGTGTGGAGGAGAGACACCAATTGTGCTAAGTCATGTTGTGTACGAGAGAATGAAAGAGAAACATCCTGAGTTTGTTCAAAGGTTGGAGGAACATGGTTTGCTCTATGTTAGGGTTTTAGGTGAAGAAGATGATCCATCATCACCGATTGGCCGTGGTTGGAAATCCACATTCTTGACCCAAGATAAGAAGTTTGCTGCAGAAAGGTACTTCATCATCGCTAGAATCGCACTGAGAAGTACCTGTAATCGAACCGGATAAATAGCAAATTGCTTTTGATCATTGTAGAATACTCATCATCAGTTGTAGATGCGAGGGTTTCTTGATAACTCTGAGACTTGAATGTACAGGGCGGCCAAACTGGGAATGAAACTGGAATGGACCGAGGACGGAGCCAAGACGATAATGGGTCCAATCCCGGCCATCAAATACGACGAGTTGAGAAAACGCAAAGTGTGGTTCAACAGCATGGTAGCTGCTTACACGGGCTGGGAGGATAAGCGGAATGATCCAAGGAAGGCCGTGACTTTTGGGGACGGAAAGCCTTTACCCGCGGATATAGTCCACGACTGTCTTATGATCCTTGAAGAGGAATGTGTTGCTGTTCCATGGCAGAGAGGAGATGTTCTGCTTATAGACAACTGGGCAGTTCTTCACTCACGAAGACCGTTTGATCCTCCTCGCCGAGTTCTTGCATCACTCTGCAAATAGAGTAATTATGTTGCATTCCACAAAACCAAACCTTTGGATTTTGGATTTAAAGGTAACACTGTACATATTACATACATATATTTGGGTATAGTAACCCATTTCTTTATTCAAAACACTTATCTACACTTCACCATAAACTAAACAACATAAGAAGAAACCCGTCCTTCATTTTATTGTCCACGGGATTGAAGTTTCGAAATCTTGTACAGAACTCATACTCAGAGCTCCTCGTTGAGCTTCGACTTTGATGGTTTCAGACCCGGTTTGAGGAATTCAGAAAGCCATTTTGCAGATTCTTTCTCAATACGAGTCAAGTTGTTCTTGAAGTCGATGTAGTAAACACCAAACCTAGCCGTGTACCCGTCTTGCCACTCGAAGTTGTCCATTAACGACCATAAGAAATACGATGTAACATTCACCTTGTCTTCACTGCAAGATACAAACAAGGATCAAATGTAAAATGGAAAAAAAAAACATTTAGAATCAAGGATCAAAAGCTACCACAAATATAATTAATCGATCTTCACCATATAGCTTGATGCAAAGCCAAAAGATGCCTCTGGAGATAGTATTTCCTGTTGTGGTCATTGAGAGCAACGCTATGATCTGTATCTTTATCGCCAAGGTCTTCCCCGTAACCTATATATATAAGAAAAAGTTGAAAACTCAAGAAATGTAAAAAAAAAAACCCGTAATATATATACAGTTTTTATATAATACTATAAACATTAGTATTGAACTATTGATATTTTCAGTAACCATTCTCAGTGATTATAATCTCAGGGTCGTTATATCTGTCTTTTATGTATTTCAAAAGCTTCCTCAAACCCTCTGCGTGTACAGCCATCTTAGCAGTGCTGGGCTAAAAACAAAAACATAAAATAATTAATAATTAAAGTATTTAAATCACAAAATTTCAAAAGATTTTTTTTTTGTTTTTTTGGTAACTTATTAGGAAGAAGAAGTTGTGTACCTGGCTGCCAATTTTAACGGACCCATCTACAGTCTTGGCTGAAAATATTTATATAAAAAAAAACACACGCTTATAACAACTTTGGACTTGATGACTAGTATGTGCTTGTGAAGTAAATTTTACAATAGATGAATATATTTTTCATAAAATAATTTATAATTAAATCGACTATTCCATTTTTCTAATTATATAGTATGCAGTAGAATCGGCTATAAATATGATTTGATGAATATATATTTTGAATGGTAAAAAGTAGTGAAAAACATATATATTTTCGTTTGACAAAAAAGAAACATATATATTTTCTAAAAATTGATTTATACTTGTAAATTAGTAACGCAATAAAAATTAATCTTACGTTCGAATTCGAACATAGCATCTGTAGCCCAAGTTGGGTTCCGACGATCGGGAATCTCGTTTTTCTTTGCAAAGAACGAAGTGTAATAGTTTATTCCAACGAAATCTGTCGAATCTTTCAGCTTTGCCTTTTGGGATTTTGTAAATCTAGGTAACCGTGGTCCAACCGCATCTTTCATACTTTGAGGATAATCTCCATACGTGGTAGGATCCAAATGCCTGAAGAAGAACATC